CCGACAGAAGAGATAACGAAATTGACTAGCAAACCAATCAAATGTTCTTCATTTCAAATTCAAATGCCAGGACAAAAGCTGTGTGGACAGCTGTCGCTTTGGGTTTTATATCGGTTGAGTTTGGGAGAAAAGTTTGAAGAAATTATAATAAATTTAACTCAATAAAAATGGCAAACAAGTTTGGATTTGGGTCTTTACCTCTAGAATCTAAAAATCCCATGAGTTCTACGGCGTTTATAAACAAAGCGAAACCTTTTTTCGTGGATCAAATCGGAGACACCTTACAAGGGGATATCGATATGAACAATTTCAAAATAACTAATTTAAAGTTTCCAGGAAACGATAACGATGCCGTGAACAAGAAATATTTACTGGATCAAATAAAAAGCAATTCAAATAGATAAGAACCATGTTGAAAATAGAATAACTGACGTGAAAAAATTCATCAGACGAAATATTAAAAATCTTGTGGACGAACCCAAACTACAACAAGAGTTAACGAGTTTGAAACGTCTTATTCAAGTGGATAAAACAAGTCAGTTGCAAAATTTAATATCTAAATTAGACGAAAAGATTACGAAGGTAAAAATAGACGTCCAACGTTTAATAGACAACCCAAATGTAAACGAGGATAGATTGAAACGAAAACTAACCGCTTTGGAAAGAAAACTTGGCGAATTGCTAGCAGAACTAGGCAAGACCGCGGACAAAACCGAGTTACGAAATTCGATATCCAATTTGAACGAAAAGATCGCGAAGCAAAAACCAGATGTTCAAGATATAATTAACACACTTCCCATTGACAAAGATACGTTGAAACAACAATTGACTGCTTTGGATACTAAAATCACGGACGAATTAGAAAAAGAAGTGGGTGTGATTAAAAACTTTGTTCAAAATAAATTTCGAGATGATATGAAAAATTATATTAAAGAACAGGTCAATCTTTTGGTATCTAGAATTCAGGACGATTTTTTGACACAAGAGAGAAAGTTGAGCAAATTAGAAGCTATTGTCACGGACAAATCGTATTATTTCAATCTTCCATTCGAAAGTGACACTGTCTTCGATAGAAAAGACCAAATTTATAAATCAAACAAATACGGATTCAAAGCAGAAATAAAAGTAGGTACTCTCATATACGGAGAACCTAAAAACGTATTCGATATCGGCGAAACGCAAGAGTTTACTTTTCGAGGTAATTGTCTGATTCAAATAGAGTTTCCCATGAAGGTTAAAGTCAATAAAGTAGTCTTCAAACAAGGCGGTAGGGCCGTCAAATATATTTCATTATTCAATGATGGTAATTTGGAAGAGAATATACGTTTGATTGATATAAGGAATCAGGAAATTGAAACGAAAAATGGTAAATATATAGACACCTTTAAAATGGAAGTAGAAAATAAAGATATAAATAGATTTAGAATCAAAGATTTAGATATGATATTGGAGACGGAAAATCCACCATCAACCAACATTGTCCAAGTTCCACGACACTTAAACGTACCCGGAAAAATAGAATCGAGCAGTCACGAGTTTTTACGAACAACAGACTTTGAATACGTAAAACTGTATTTTGTTTACGATGAAAAATACCGCGCGATCGATGTTCATAAAAGTCAACAAGAAAGAGAGTTTATAGTGCATTTATCGTTTGCCGAAGGTTCCGACTCAATCCTTAATGCGGGTGGTTATATTTTTAGAGCCAAGATAAACATCGAAAAAGAAAAAAGAAAATATTCCTATCATCTTAAAGAGGACCATACGAAAAAAGAAATGTCGTTAGTACGCGTAAATGTTTTTACTTTTAAGATATTCCGTGGTTCCATTTATCGGAAATTCACTTAATTTAACGACTTAAAAAATGGAACTCGAAAGCAGACAACAATACATGATAGACAAACAAGAAGAGTTGAAAATAAAGTTGAGACAGTACAATTCATGCAGGAAAACATGGAGTAGAATCGATTCTTTTTTCAAAACAGCGAGCACAGTTCTAACGGTAGGAGTAACGGTGGCAGCGGCCGTGGCTGGTGGATTAATGCCTCCAGTCATCGTACCAACCGTATTGGCTGCATTAACAGCCGTTCAAACGACCTCTTGTGGCCTCATCACTTTAGGTTTCACGAGCAAAAAGAAAGCTCATTATAAAAAGAAAACGGATATCTTGAATATGTATCTTAATCAATTGTACATCTTTTTCGAAAGATCGAGAGAAGACAAGAACATAACAGTTGAAGAATTACAAGAATTCAATGAAATTTGGGACAAATTCCATACAGAAATATCAGCGGTCAAAATAAAGAAATAATCAAAAATATATACTTAAAAAAATATGAATAAAATCGAACTTGATGAAACATTGATAGAAAACGCCCTATTTTCCGATGTTATCAAGGCAATCTCTGATAAATTTAAAACATTCAAAGGACAAATTAAAATAGATGGAGAGATAGTCGAGGAAGGGAATCACAGACAATACATGTCACTCCTCGGTTTCAATGCCAAAACTTTTCACAATATCTTTTCAAATATGGACAAAAAATCCGATGCTTCCGATTGGTATTTTACAGGAAAAATAATTTTAATGAAAGACAATTTCCAAGAAATAAAAAGGTCGAGAGTTGGCAGAGGAGGAACTGATCTACTTAAAAAGATAAATGAATACGAAGGCGAAAATTGTTACATACCTACAGATGGTCACTGTTTTATCAAATGCGTCAATCGTGTTTTAAACGAAGACTACACGAGAGAATTTCAAGAATACATCAACGGGTTTTCAGAAGCAAATAGAAAAGGAGTGATGACTTGTGCTAGAATGAATGAATTCAACAAGAAATTTAACACTTCGTTTCAAATTTATAATCCCAAAAACAGACATTTTCACCCCAGAGACGTTCACGATGAAATAGATTGGGTTTTGTACTTACACAACTCGCATTTCTGTTTGATTAGAAGAAGCCAAAAAAGTTTGGGAATTCAAGAAATAGAAGACAATTACGAACAGGTGTGGAAAACGTGTAGAGACGACAACGCAGTAACACAGGTTTCACCCCTCAAACTAAACGTGCTTTCGAGTATGAGTGATGATGCGTTATTCGCTTGGGATTGCGAAACGTATTCAGAAAAGACACGCTAAGAGCAATTCCTTATGCCTGTACTTTAATTAATTTAGAAAAACTAAGGAAAATGTTAAACAGAATAAATAATCTATTTCCAGATTTAAAGCCTACAGATCCCATTCCAGAAGAATTTTATGATAAACTAATGAATGTAGTAGAAATATTTGTAGGTACAGATTGCATCGATCAAATGTTGAAATATTTAGGTCAATATGATAGAAAGAGATTAATATTAATTTCTCATAACGGCAGTGGATTCGACAACTGGATCGTGCTTAAAAATGCAAAAAAACTAACGCATTGCCCTTTAAAAACACCCAGAGGAATTCTATCTTTTCCTTTATCTAATCCATACACGGATGAAGATTTACAGAAAAAATGGAAAAGACAGAAAGAAATAAAGGGTAATTATTTACAACATATTAATTTCACATGTTCCTATCAACACGAATCCTCTAGTTTGGTTGCATGGGGAAATTCTTCCAATCTTCCCGCGAATTTGAGAAAGATTGCCGACGTAGATATCGCTAAATACACGCAAGACAACTGGGAGGAATTGAGACACGAATGGGAACCTTACGCCAAGAGAGACACTCTCTGTTTGGGAGCATGTTTGATAAAATACAACCAAGTCAAGAAGTTGTAAACCAGAATATGTCCAATAATCTAACGGCTCCATCTTTATCTTTAAAGGGTTGGTATTATTTATATCATTACGATAAAGAAATGGTGGAAGAAGAATGGTATGAAACTACTAGAATGGTTGCGAAACATACCGAAAAAGAAAATATAGAAAAAGTTTATTCGCACACAAATCCTTTTATAAGAAATTTTATCAGACGATCTATTAAAGGAGGAAGAGTTTCGGCAAATAGAAAATCATTTGAAACGAACAAAATGGATGAAATTTGTAACGTATTAAAGGAATATACAGAACTTGAAAGTAATAACATAATTGATTTATTCAAAGAATACAGCGCAAGCACAAAAGACAAAACGGAGGTTCATTCGAGACTTAAAAAAATAGAATGTACTAAATGGCATTTGATGCTAACGGTTTATACGCTTCCGCCATGTCGGATTTAGACAGTGAATATCCGAGAGCGGAAAGTGAA